TATATATATATATATATATATAAAATATATATATTGTAAAATAGATAATTTGATATGAATCAGAGGCGATGATTGTGGAAGGGATGCACGAAAACTCTTTGTAACCAATTGACACACTTTCTACAATTTGTAATGGAGGATGATTTTGTTTGTTTTTTCTTCAAAAAATAAAAAAAATTGGAGAGAGAAAGAAGTTAAGAAAGAATCCCACGATAAAAACATATTTTACCTTCTCTCTTTCTCTAAGTTACTAATAAATACTTTTGGCAAATAGTCCGAGATCAGGCCATGTGTTCTGGATTATTAAAGGAATGTAGATACCGGTCTCATAAATTTCATTTGCTTAAATCTTTATTCAGCAAGAAAGCAATTGAAGTGTTTTGTAAAGAACAAAAATGAACATTGCGTTCTTTTATAAAGCTTAAATTTGTGCAGTTTAGATGGATGTTGATTAAATCCTTTTGATTTTAAATTTTAAGTGGGTTGTGGGTTTTGTTTTTTTTGAATCCTAGCAAAATTTAGGACAGAGGCATGGCAAATTCTATCAGACCTTAAAATGACGTTTGATCTCGAATTTGCATTGAATTAACAAGATGTGCAAAATGAAAACACTATTCTTATAATGCATCTTGTTGTTAATGATTACAGTGGTTAGTTTTATAGCATTAACTATAGGTCTTATTATCTAAGCCCGTGATGGCGAAACTATGGTGGTGGCACGCATAGCCCTCTCTGCAGGCATGGGAGCTGTCACCCCAGCTCAGTTCCACCGCGCATGCGCGTGCACGCCTCCTGCTGGCCAGCTGATTCTCAATGATGAAGAGCAGGAGGTGGTACCATCGGGCTATCGTCAATCCTGATTGGTCCACAGACTTGAGAGAAAATGTTGCAGCCACGCCCCTACTCCTTCTGCCCAGTTCCTCTCAGGCTATGGTCCGATTAGGCTGTTAGTATCAAATTAGTAGTTGTCGATAAGATGAAGAATCACAAACTTGCACTAGCTAAGAGACTAACAGCCTAATCGCACCGTAGTCTGAGAGGGACTGGGCAGAAGGAGTAGAGGCGTGGCTGCCACAATTTCTCTCAGTCTGTGGACCAATCAGGATTGACGATGGACCAATCAGGATTGACGATAGCCCGGTGGTAGCACCTCCCACTCTCATATATTAGAATCGACATTCAGGTAAGTACCAACGATCGTTTTCAGGTCTCTGCCGCGCATGTGCGCGCGGGGGCACATGTGGGAGATGCATGTACGGGAGCCAGGGTGGTGTGATGCCCCCTCCGCATCCCATTTTTGCTTCCAAGAGGCTCCAGGGAGGCTTACTAGTCCAAAACCGGGCACTGGGCGGTCGCTTGCACATTCCTGGGGGAGTGTGGTGTTTGTGTGTGTGTGTGCGCGTGTGTGTGCGCGCGTGCATGCATAGGGGGGGCGCATTACATTATGGGTGCACGACAAGAAAAGGTTTCGCCATCACGGATATAAGGTCTGTTAAATTTAGGATTGCAGTCTTTACAAAACATTAAAAACCTAGATAAATCAGTATGTTTACATGGGTTTCAAACTAAGCAATTTTCCTTATTAAAATGTTTTTTTTTAATATTATGGTATTGAAATGTAAATGAAAGAAAAATACTTTTCATTACTGTTTATTTACCTTGCTAAAGAGGTGTGGCTTGGCTGTTTTGCCTTTATTGTTGCATATATTCAATCTGCTTCCTCCTCTACAAATATATGATGAGAATTGGTTATTGTTTCTAACAGAAACAAGGCTAGAGAAATGTCCTCAGGGAGAGCATAGAATGTGTGGGAAGAAAATTTTGTTCTTCATCAGCATCTTTTGATATGTAGCCGCTATGTGAAAAGTAGCATAAAGCATAAGCAAGCGTTTTATTAATACATTTAAAGTAATTGTATAATCTCTGATACGGTTAATCCCCGACCTACGACCACAATTGAGTCCAAATTTTCTGTCGCTAAGTGAGAGCGTCATTAAATGAGTTTTGCCCCATGTTACGACCTACCTTACCAGAGTTGTTAAGAGAACCACTGCCATCGTTACGTTAGTAACACAATTGTCAAGTGAATCTGGCTTCCCCATTAACTTGGCTTGTTAGCAGGTCGCAACCGTCATAAACATGAGTCAGTTGTCAAGCGTCTACATTTTGGTCACGCCTGCATGGGGAAAAAGGTCACGAGTCACTTTTTCCAGTGCCGCCGTAACTTCAAACGGTCACTAAATGAACTGTTGTATGTCAAGGACTACATGTAGTTCTACCTGGACAGGATGTTGTTCCCATGTAGAATTCAACAGAGATTGTCCATGACTAAAGTAGAGTTGTCTACTCCGGAGAACCTTTGCGCATTTGTGAAAGCTTCAATGTGAGCTGCAACGCTGTATACATATATATTGAATTCTGCACAGGTACCATATTTTTCGGAGTATAAGACGCACCTTTCCCGCCTAAAAGAGGGTGAAAACTTGGATGCATCTTATACACTAAATGTAGCCCCACCCACTGGCCCCAACCTTTTGGCCTCTGCCTCCAATTTACCTCTTTGCAGCAAACGGGGCTTGTGCAGGCTTCAATAAGCTATAGCCGGGATGGCGAACCTATGGCTCGCGTGCCACAGGTGGCACATGGAGCCATTTGTCAGGGCACGCGGGGCGCTGCCCTGTCAGTTGGCCAGCACGCATGTGCACGCTGGCCAGCTGAGTTCACCCTTTTTTAAAGCCATTTCTCACCCTCCCCAGGCTCCAGAGGCTTTGTAGGAGCCTGGGTAGCGCGAAAAAGCCTCCCCACCCCCCGGAGGCTCTCTGGAGGCTTCATGAGCTTCCCTGAAGCTTCTGGAGCGCAAAAAAACGGGTCTATGGGCAAATCGGAAGTTCGGGAACAGACTTCCGGTTTGCTCGGAGGGTCATTTTAAGTGCTCCGGAGGCTTCACGGAAGCCTCTTGAAGGTCCCTGAAGCCTTCGGAGTGCTCAAAACGACTCTCTGCTTGGAGGGTCATTTTGACAGCTCCAAAGGCTTCAGGGAAGCCTCCTGAAGGTCCCTGAAGCCTTCGGAGTGCTTCAAACAACCCTCCCAACAAACCGGAAGACATTTCCAGTTTGCTCGTAGGGTCGTTCCGACTGCTCAGGAAGATCCCTGAAGCCTCCGGAGGGCTTCCGCAGGGGGGAGAGGGCTGTTTTCGCTCTCCCCAGGCTCCTTTAAAGCCTCTGGAGCCTGGGGAGGGCAAAAAAAAGATGCAGAAATGGGGGGGGGGAGCACCTCTAATGCACACATGCGCACTGGGGGGTGTGTGTAGCACATTGCATTATGGGTGCGGCATGTCTGCACACGACCCCCCTGCACTCCCCCCACTTATGGCACACGAGCCAAAAAAAGTTCGCCATCGCTGAGCTGTAGCAATCTCTGCAGCCTGTACCAGCTGATGATCGGGAGAAATTGAAAATGAAACTTGCTGTTTGCTTCCCCTGGCAAATTGCTGGGACGCAGATATTTTTTTCTTGTAATTGTATTTTAAGAGAATGATTTAACATTTCAAGTTTCCCTTACGAGTCTCTTCCCTACTTTTTTACATCTCTTTTGGATATGACTTACGGATTTCCTGGAGATAAGTAGCCTGAATGCTAACTTGTTAGAAGTAG